TGTGTGTGTGTGTGTGTGTGTGTGTGTGTATGTATTTGCCCATGTTTGTGTGTTTTCATTTGTCTGTCTTTTAGTAAAATGAATTACAGTAATACATCTTTAAGAAATATATCATTATATTAAGCTACAACTGAATTACTTTTAGAGTAATTTCAATTCAATATGGCCCCACAGCCCGCTGACTATAATTTAACCAGTTTCACTGCTAATGAGCTGAAATTTAGCGTGGTAGTAGATGAGAATAATTCAAAACACATACAGAGTATCACACATTGTGTGGCATCTTTACTTAAAACTTTGGCCTAAATAGTTGGAGTTAATCTTGTGTTTTTACAAAATATCTCATGAAACTCTGGATACATTTTCAAGGTTCTTTATTGTCATTTGGATCACACGTGGTACATGAGGTGGAATGAAATTGTGCACCCAAGGACCCAGTTTCATCCAAAAATAGCAATAATATAAAGTATAAAGATAAACCATATACAAAGGTCTAATATATATGCTACACAATGATAAAATAATATAACAAGGTGTATTTTAGTGCAACTCTTAAACAGCAATGGTTGAACGTGCATCTAAAACTCATTAACATTTGGATTCAGGCTGATTAAAGATGGCCGCCACAGCTATTCACTTGACCAAGACAAATATGGTTTAATATTGAACGAAAACTGGATATAACTGAGAGTTATCCTCCGCACATGCTCCAAGTGCTAAAATAATTTACGGGACGTTGCAGAGATGTGCACGCAATCGTGCACATCATTTACAAGGTTTGACCAAAACAGCTTTAATCTTCCGTAGCACAAGAGGATTTTAGTTTGAAATTCAGGCGTGAAAGGCGACGAGCAACATGGATTCCTTCACAGAGCGCCAGGCCTGAAATAAAAAACACATCTGGTAAACAGCTGTCCACACTGGATTTTGATTTTGTTTATTAAACACTTTATTTATAGATCTACTATTTGCTAAAGATGAGCCCCATTTAACGCGCAAAGTATTCACTTTTTTTTTTCTTCCCAATTTCCATATCTCACTTTAACAAAGCTCTGGATGCAAAATCCTTTCATTTCCTCGATCTTCTTGACATTTTACCTCTTTTTTTTTCTTTTAATGATTGGATTTTAGAAGCATTACTGAAGAAAATTGAGTTTGACTTTCATCCAAAACAGGATCTGAGCTTTTTACTAAATCATGTTTGAAAGGTTTTAATGCTCAAAGCTTGAATTAGACCTGAGGAGCTCCACTGGAGTCTAAGTGTGTTAGCTGACCCAGGGAGGGAGGCGAGCAGTGGTGGGGGGGCATGTTGAAAGTTTTTAAATACAGAAAGAGGGAAAGCACACAGAGTGAGAGATGTTTTACTGGTGATGTGCTGGTTTATATTTTTGGTCGTGTGATTTAAAGCTTCGGTTGAGTCCATGTTTTATTGGTTCTCCTCGGAGTGTGTTTACTGTATGCACCCTTCCTCCACCTCCTCTTCTTCCTTAGCTCTCCATACTCCATCTGTGCACACATGCAAACATGCACACCTCATACACCGCATCGATCCTGTCCATCAATCAAACTGCTAGGAAATCTATTGTTAACAGAAATACCCTTCATCATGGATTCCCCCCACTCTTCTGGAGCTCCTAATATTTCTGTCTCTTGTTATCAATAATACTACTGTATGTTTTCCTTCAGGCGATTTGGAACAAAGTGTGCGTCATGCCAACAGGGCATCCCTCCAACGCAGGTGGTGCGAAAGGCCCAGGACTTTGTGTACCACCTGCACTGCTTCGCCTGCATCATGTGCAGCCGACAGCTGGCCACCGGGGATGAGTTCTACCTCATGGAGGACGGGAGGCTGGTGTGCAAGGTGGATTACGAGACCGCCAAACAAAATGGTAGGTGCTCTATTTTATATTTATAGAAGCAAAATGGTTTGAGATGATGAAAAAAAAAAGTAGTTAAGCTGCACTGGCAGCCTCACGTGTGATATTCTGACCGTGGGTTTCAGTGCTGAAAGGGCTCTGACTTAAATTTGCTGCTTCAGAATTGCAGAGGAGCACGATAGATCAAGCTGTATGCACTCTTCAGCGCAGTGAAATAACTTGTGACTGTGGATCGTTGGTGTTTGTCATCTGGGTGTGTGTGTGCTGTTCCTGTCCCTCCCTCTCCTCGGAGATTTCCATGCATCTCTGATTGATTATGTAAAGTGAACCAGTGCTCTTATATGGTGCGGCTCCAATAACTCCTCTCCTCTGGCACAGAGTAGATTTATGTCCTCTGCTGTGGGAGCTGGACAGATGCACAAGGACAATAATACACTGCCATGCGTGGCCATTCACTTTATTTCACACGCACCCACGCGTACACACTCTCCTCACACGAAGGTTGTGAGGGGCACAGCCTGTTGAGGCAACGAGTCAAATGAAAGGGGGATGCCACTCAGCCTTGTGACTTTTTTTTTTTTTTCAGATGACTCAGAGGCTGGGACCAAGCGACCGAGGACCACCATCACCGCCAAGCAGCTGGAGACCCTCAAAAGTGCCTACAAGAACTCGCCAAAGCCGGCACGCCACGTCCGAGAGCAGCTGTCCTCAGAGACAGGGCTGGACATGAGAGTTGTGCAGGTAGACAAACATACTTTTGAGGGATTCCTGTTATTTTAACCTGAAACAAAATAAAAATAACGGACTCAGTCAGTGGAGAAATGTTTTAGATTAATGAATGAAACACTCTACGCTCAAAGGGAATCTTGTTTTTTCTTCAGCTTTATTAGTTATCACTTCCTAGATGTTGGATTTGGTATAAAAAATCTGCAGCAAGCAAATAAATCCCCTCTCTCTAAATAACTTTTTTTCACATGTCTTACTTGACACTATATTCGTATCTCCTCTCCAGAATTCTGTTTTTCCAAACCCCTCTGATTTTGAAGTGTCCATGAACCTCTCACCTCAGTAAAAAGAGTGCTCTCTTCTATATATCAAATTTTTTCTAACATTTCAAACACTGTGTTGAAAACAGTGTGGAAGACAGACTTGGGATTCTTGACGATGTGAGGGGAAAGATTTAAAAAGAGTACACCGACCTTCAACCACAGTTTCAGGTTCTACATCTTCCCTCACTTCAGCCTGGCTGGCAAAGATATGAGACAGCATGTGCTCTCTGAGATGAGCACCAACGAGCCACAGTTAATGCTTCACATGTTCTGAAGCTGTCCATCCATGAAAAGATTATTGTCCAAAATCTTTCCTGCGTTGCCTAATGAAACTGGGGAGGACATCACTCCTGATGCCTGATCTGCCTCGCTCGGGGTGTAGCCTACCTCACCTGCTCTCTCCTGCTAAAAATAACTTAATTACATTCAAAGCACTTCTGGCCAAGAGGCTAATACTACCAAATTGTAAATCTGCAGATCCATCTACATATAGCTGTATTAGAGAGGTCCTTTATTTTACTAAACTGAAAAAAGAAAAAAAAATCAGACTGACTTGGTGCTGGTAAGACTGGATCATTTTAAATAACCTGGAATCACTTTCTATCAACAATGGATGTCGGATCATTCTGAACCAATATGTGCATATATGTGTGTGTGTATATATACAGTATATATACCTTTTTTTACTTCTTGTTGATCTGTATTAGCCTACTATGAGGAGGTTGTGGAGCATTAAGTGTAGAACCACTAGACTGAGGAACAGCTTCTACCCTGAAGCAGTTAGAATCATAAATCCCTAATCAAGAATTTCACTGTGAAATATATTTTAAAAAATCACTGTAATGCAACTTTGATTGTTGATATGTGCTGCTGATTATTCATGCTGCTGATTATTTCAAGCTGCTATATACATTCATTCATCTTCCCACAAAGACTCATGGTCGTGCTGCCATTGTTTGGTGTATTGTTTTACATTATTAGTGTTTAGCGTATATCTTAGATCTTTTAGTGTACCATTGGGTGTTCATTTAGTGTATATCTTATCTTAAATCCTATTGTTCCTTTTTACACTTTGTATTTTTGCTATTGTTGGATGTAACTAGGACCCTGCGTACATAATTTTGTTCCACCTCATGTACCATACTGTATGTGATGTGAATGACAATAATCTTGACCTTGATGTTCCAAGGTGCCAAAGTTTTGTTTCTTAAAATTTTAACATTGTTCTAAAAGGGATGTTTTAATTAAATTTATGGGAAATATGCGAGTTCCATAAAACTGTGACTAAAAGAGGCGCACTTCATTTATGGTTAATTTAAATAAGATTTGATGAGGAGTGATTTTAAGCATTTTTGATAAACTGTGGTTATTTTATATTGGTCTCACTGTCATGAATTAATAAAAAAAATAAAATAAAGAAAGAACCATGCTTTTTTGCCCCCAATGCATCCCAAATCTTAATGATGGTTAAACATTTGTATTAAAAAACACTTTACACACTCAATTTAATGGAACAGCTTTAGGACATTTGACCATATGTAAAAAAAAAAAAAAAAAAATTCTTAACATTTACAATTTGAAACTTTTTTCAGACCAAATATCTTTGAAACAACTAATATTTAAAGCTAAATTTGAAAAACACAAAAAGTCATGTGTGATCCTTTTATTTGTTACAGCCAATCTGACGTGTGAACAAAGATGGCACACACAATTTTCAGTTCGTTAAAAATATCATTTCTGTCAGGTTTGGTTCCAGAACCGGCGGGCGAAGGAGAAGCGTCTGAAGAAAGATGCAGGCCGTCACCGCTGGACCCAGTTTTATAAAAGTGTCAAGCGCAGCCGAGGAGGAACCAAAGTGGAGAAGGAGAGCTCAGCTGACGACGCAGGACTCAGTGACAGTGAACTGAGCTTCAGAGGTAATTTAAAAAAATCCATTTGTCTAAGAGAGACAGCCTTGAAAGGGAATTATCAGACAAGGTTTGTGTTAATAGGATTAAGGGAGCCTTCAAGCTGCTAAATGACATGCGAATTACAGATACTGAATGCATTTAGTTTTATTTGTTTCGCTGGTTTCTGTCTTATTTCGCTCATGCAAACTCAAAACGGCTGGAAATTAGCACGGCGTCTCAGTGGGATGACAATATCAATTTTAGACATTTGTTTGTTATTAAATATGTGCAATTCCCATTTTGGGTGGTTGTAAAAGTCTCTGAGCCACTTTGCAAAAGAAAGCTATTTTTTATGAGAAATGAAAATATGGTGACAGAAACTCTATAAAGCATGTGAGGCTTTTAGTCAATTAGAGAGAAAGCGCTCCGTGTCTTTGTTGTTGTTGTACCGGAGGGGATGGATTGGAGATGAAAACAAATATTTTGTTCTGCGGTAACTGCACACACAGAGACGCAGGTGGGGACTGGAGGTGGAGCTGTGGGCTGGAGGCCCTGCAAAGTTCAGAACACGTGGCTCCCAAACAAAAAGATTTAGCAGCATGTTTTTATTTTTGATCATTTCATACAATTGTATCTATTTTCCAGCTGCTTATGTGCACTTTATATGAGTCAAAAGCTTCAGGATAAAGGACATAAACTGTTTAATGTTTTTGGGGTTTTTTTTCAACCCTTTTCATATTACTGTGGAAACAAACTCATTAAAGGGGCATGCTGGCATTTTTTTTAAAAGTGATGTTATGTTAAATAATTATCAATGGTCTGCTGTGACATTACTTACAAAGCATGGAGCATGGAGAAAGATCCAGGCTAGGCTAGCAGCCAAACAAGGCCCCTCTTAACATCAACCTGGTAAATGTTGACACTGCTAAACATGTCCGTCTGCTGGGAGTTAAATAAACTTTTAACTGGCCGGATGGATTAAGTAGACTGATACATTCAGCATCCTCGGCACCAACAACAGCATTTACATGGTCTATGCTCATACATTAGCATAGGCCATGTAAAGGATGTTTTTAGGGCTGAGAAAACAGCAACAAACAAAACAAAGTGTCATGAAAAGTGTAGAGTTTAATATTAACTGAAGGAACGTTTGTTCACACCAGCATCACATTGTAAGAGTTTCTTCATCAGCCTGAAAACTAACGTAAAACAGGCCCTCGCTTGGCTAACCATTAACCTAGCCCAGAGGAAGACTTCTGCCCTCTTCTATCCATCCATCCATGAGGCAGCGGTTCTAACCACTGCTCCACAGTGTCGCCCCAGGCACTCACATTTCAAAACTACAACTATCCTTTTAAATTTTTTTTGTGGTAGTGTCCACCCACTGTACTGTACACCTCCATAAAACCCACAATTGTTGCAACGATAAATGTAACCCATAAAAACACTTAACAGGATTGAAGAATAACAGCGATATAATGTGCGTGCAGGTGACCGTGCTGCTGGAGTGCCAGAGTGTTTACGTTTCTGCTGTTTCCTCCACAGATGACCAAGTCCTGTCAGATCTGAGCCACGCCAACGGCCTTTATGGAAGCGTGGGTGACGTGACCGGCGGCGCGGTGCTGAACGGCAGCTTCTCGGTCGACGCAGCAGGACAATCCTACCATGACATCAGAGCAGGAAGTCCTTACGGCCTCCCCCAGTCACCTTCGTCCATCACCTCCCTGCCCGGCCACACGCCTCTCCTCAACAACCTGGGCTTTACAATGGACAGTCTGGTGGCACAGGGGGGTGCAGGCGGTGTGGGACAGGCTCTGAGGGCCATGGCAGGGGGCCCCACCTCAGATCTATCCACAGGCAGCAGTACAGGATACCCTGACTTCCCCACCAGTCCAGCGTCGTGGTTGGACGAGATGGACCATTCCCAGTTTTGAACCATCATCTTACATGAAATGGACCTAAATGATTCTTTCGTTTCATTTTAATTTATTTGAAACACCTTTCAAGACTGGTATGCTTTGAAAACTTTTGGTGAAAGAAAAATGAGGAAGCAGAGGAGTTGGGACACAAACAGTAAAGAACATGCTCTTTATTTACATTATTGTCGATTTTTTTATTTTTATTTTTATGCTTCACTCTATAAAAGTGAGACTGAATGGGTGGATCATAACACTGTGCAATCCCCAGAAGAAAACGCACCCTCCCCAACTACAAGATCAAGGCTGCAGTCTAGATCAAAGTTCCTCGTTCGATCCAGAAGGCGTCTGCATGCTTCTGATTCGGTCCGGTGTCTGGTCATATCAAAGCCTTTATGTTGGCAATGCACTTTACTCTCCTCTTCTTTTTCTACACAAACGGACAGGAATGCAGAGGAGAGAGAAATATGCACAAGGCAAAAAAACAAAACAAAAAACAAAACAGTGTTTCAGTTGGAGAGAAATTTACATGAGCTGTGGCACAAGTGTGACTTTTGAAACATGCTCATGTTTTTGAAGCTTACAAGTATTTAGCAGACAGATGGCTGCTGGTCTGTGCGACTGTTTGTCCTTCCTGTCCTCACTTCCCGTGTTTTGAGTTTGCGAAGCAGTAAATCTACAGGCGCTTGACTCGTCCTCGTCTGTGTAAAAAAAGCTGTCGGAGAGTCTGTCAGTATTAAAACGTTTCTTACACCAGGACTCAGCAGGAATTGAAGAGTACAGGACGGTCAAGACTTCAGTGATTTTTAGTTATGCATCACACACTGTTATTTGACAAGAACATATTTTATTTACAAGATATACAAAGTTGTTTTTTTGCAAATAATATAGAAATTCAAACATCAAAGTTGGGTTTGACAAATAAGTATTAAAAGGGACATTGATTTTATAAGAAAACGTGTGTGCTTGCTCTCAGATCCAGAGCTTCTCCTGGTAATCTTCTCAGTGCAGCAATCTGAACTTTGCCTGCTGTCAACCGACTCCCCGACTCCAGATGTTCTGGCAGCCTGTTTGCCGACTGCCTGGCCCTTTGTGTCAGAGGGATTAACGAAGCCTGCCACGTTTTGAGCTAATACTGTGGCGTCAGAGTCGTTTGCTCGGTTGTTTCTCAGGCGTCGTCAGGTGCATCTTCAAGCCAACATGAAACTTAAACAGGCAGATCCTTCACTAAAACCCAGACCTGCCTGTGACTCTAGTAAAAATCTATAAAAGAACCGACACAGCTGGACGTTCATTTGTTTAGCATGTCAGAAGCAAAGACTGTTTCCATTAAAGAGTTTTCTTAAAACACACTTTTCTCCCGTTTCTCTGCAAAGAAAGCAGTTGATGTAGGCACCTTTTTGTAAAATAAATAAATAAAATGAAAAGTCAAGTTGTTTTTTTTTTTTTTTTTAGTTCTGTCTTTTATCAGAATAAAAATCAGCAAAAAAATAAAACAAAAAATGGTAGAATACAGCCTGCAAATTACACACGAAATCAAATTCTACTAATAAATTTGAGTACAGAACAAGAAAAGTTAAACTTTTTTGTTTAAAGGAGATCTTAATTTTTTTAAATTTGTACATTTATAAATCCTATATTCTGGGTATTTAAAATAAACATTTTAGGTATTCATTTCTCCATTTTCTAGTTTTAGTTTTCAGAATTAAAAATTTGGCGCTTTGAGGATTTAATTCAGGGTTTCAGAAATGCACATTTTTACTATGTTCATGGTCAATATGTTGCAAATGGTTATGTATATATAAATCTGATAATCCATCCATCTTTTTTCTGTTGTGTATGTGATCAGATTGGGAAAACAGGTTCAAAATCATTTTAGGTCAATTGAAAAGGTAAAAAAAAAACGTTTTTACATTGTTCTGCATTTTTCACTACCTTGTTCTTTGATTTCTTTCTTTGTGAAGGCTGACAACACACAAATTCACTGTTTCCTCAAATTATATTAATTATTTGTTGGCTGCAATCTACAGTTTGATATAACAGGGAAAACATCACTACAGTCTTGTTAAGTCTGTGTTGCCTCAGAAGTTTGCATCTTATTGTAAATTTTGTACAGTTTGAAATTAGTGTTGTCCTGTTTCATGAGTGCTATTTATTATTGCCACGTGTCTTTGAAAAAAAAAAGCTGTAAAAGAGAGCACTGGATTTATTCATTTATGCCTTCTGTGTAATGGTATGAACTGTGTACAGTTAAATCTATATGAGGAAATAAAGTGGAGTTGCTTTTGGGTTACCCTCGAATGCTTTTCTCTTGAACACACGGCACTTGCGGTGATGAATGTGAGAGTTTCAGCTAGACTTTATTCTTAATATATCAAAAGAAAAATGCGCCCTGTTGGTGTTTTTATTATTTTGTCTTATCGAAACACTCTTAGAGCAAGTTAACCCACAAATTCATTTACCCATTGAGAGCATTTACCACACACTTAGGCCTCTATTCAATTGTGGAGATGCATTTAGTACCACCAACGTGCAGTGGTCAGTCATTTAACAGTGATCGATGCTGTTTTCCTCTCTTGCTCTCAGGGTGGGGGGTGACAAGAAAGATGCATGGAGAGAGACAATAAGGAAGGATAGAAGGAGGAGAAATAAAACGTGCTGAAACAGATGCCTTGCTGGCTGTTTTTCTGATCCCATCAGTGCTAAAGAGACACAGGGACAGATTGCAGTGCTGTCAAATCTACCCGTAATGCCCGGACTGTTAACTAACTGTATGGTGCTTAATGAGACATAGGCAAATATGTTTTGGAGTCCATTAAATACATTTTATTCATAGTTAGCTTTTGTGTATGCCAAATGTAGCTATTGAAAATAGTAGCTTTTATAGTGATGTCACTGACAACTTCCCAATAAAAGTATTAAAATGCATTTAATAATTTTATGGTTTAAACTAGGCCTTTAAATTTGTTATTTAAAATTTGTTTAAAATACTGAAGACTAGCAAATTATTACTTTCCTGCTAATAGCTCGGCAAGACTGTTGTGCTTTGAGCTGAAATGCCGAAATTAAATGACAAGTCTAACATTTAATTCTTACATTACTGTGGCCTTCTTCTAGGACTAGTTTATTGCTGAACAAAGAGCACGGTTGTAAATAGTGATTAATTTGATGCATTTTCAAAGAGAAAGTTGCCCAAGCTAAACATTTTATGAGTAACATCAAAATTCATGCTCAATAATCCAGGTAGAAAATCCAACAAAGTTAGGTCTTACTTCAGTTAAATCTTATTTCTAATCTACAAAGCTCTCAACAACCTAGCTCCATATTATATTAATTATCTTATTGCTCCATATTTTCCTAACTGAGCACTTCGCTCTCAGACTGCAGGTTTACTTATGGTTCCTAGAGTTTCCAAAAGCAGAATGGGAGGAAGATCTTCCAGTTATCAGGCTCCTCTCTTGTGGAACCAACTTCCAGTTTCTGTCAGTGATACTGACACTTAAGACTGGGCTTAAGACTTTTCTTTTTGATAAATCCTATAGTTAGGGTTGGCTTGTTATGCTGGTATAGGCTTAGACTACTGGAGGACAAAATGACCTCATATCTTAAAATGAAATGTTTAAAAATGAAGTTTTCATTTGATATTATTTCTATCTTAACGTGATTCCTGACCTGCCATTGTGTATCTGTTCCTCCTTCCTGTTCCTCTCCAACGGTTGAAGCAGATGGCCGCTTACCCTGAACCTGATTCTGCTAAAGGTTTCTTCCTCATGAGGGAGTTTTTCTTTCCACTGTCGTCTTCATGCTTGGTCAAGATGAGTCTGTGATGAAGTTAAACTCAAAGCAGTCTGCTCCTCAGATAAATAATGTTATTAACTTACTTTTTATATATATGAATGTTTCTGTTCAGTGCCCTGAGACGACTTCTGTTGTGACTTAGCTCCATATAAACTGAATTCAATTGAGTCAGATCATTCGGATGGTTTATTTTTGTTGAAACGTTTTGTCTTTCATCCAAAAGACTTCATCAGTCTGAGGAGCCACAACCGACTCAGTCTTATAAATAGCATCTTCACATAAGGTGCTATTAACTTTTTATTAACTGACTTAACTTTGTTGGCTTTATGAGTAACCTTTAGCTTTAGAAATGTAACAACACAAAGCCTAATAAGTAAAAAAGATAAGTCACTGTGAAGGAAGTGTCTCTAGAAGACATGGTAGTGCCATCAGTTGAAGCACTGACCATGCATTGGTGTCCATATCAGCATTTATCATATGCAGCTCTTGTAATAATAAACCTTATTTAATTATCTGTAGATATGCTTCCTGTAAATAAGAATAAGCAGCGGTGCGATTAAGGAGTATAGGGATGTTTAAGGATGGTCAGACACGTTCTCAGCTGAAATCCCAGCTGAAGCCAGTCTGTGTTCAGGATTAATCCCAGCTGAAGCCAGTCTGTGTTCAGGATTAATCCCAGCTGAAGCCAGTCTGTGTTCAGGATTCTCTCTCTGAATCTGTGTGGGATCAGTCTAAAGTCATGCACGTTAACTGAGGTGTGTTTGCACAGATGTTTGTTTCTGTGATGAACTCTCTGGAAATGGCTCCAGTCCCCCACCCCGATCAGGATAAAGTGGGTACCAACAATGAATGAATGCATTATGGTGTTGGTTATAATTAAAACAAACAAATTGAAATGAAATGAATAATAATGAAACTCCACCAAAGTGTATGAAACTCATTTCTGTGTAGGAATGTGGAACATTTGTCTGAGAGCCAGTGTAACCCAAACTTAAGTGCTATTGATTATTTTGTTTTAGCTATTTTTTAAACATCATAAAAACAAAAAAGCCAACACTCAGCCTAGTTGGAGTTTGGACATTTGCATAAAATGCCACAAATTGAGCTGATTTTTATTTAGGCATTGATTGGCTGGGCTATGGGCATTAATGGATAGGGTCTAATAGAACTGGCTTACAAAGATAAAGAGCCACACAGACAGTTAGGATAATTTACACACCACTTACAGCGCTAGTATACAAATAAATCTGTGCAAAATCCACCACTGTTGCTTTTGCGAAGATGACAAACACGAGCACAAATACCATTATCATCGATCGCAAGGCTTTTATTACAAACTTCCTAAAGGAAACTGTTTTTTTTCTCCCCTTCTATGAAGCAAACAGGAATAAATTAACATGCAAAACAGAGAGGATTTGTTTTGGACTGAAAGTCAATCTCACAGCACTGTGAAAGGGCTTTTTTTTAATCAAACAGCTCCATCCAACGCTGCAGTTAACAATGATCCGAGTCCAACAGAAGCTCTTTTATGACACTCAAGCCGTTTTAAAGAGAAACTGGGACTTTACCACCAAACAGCCTGCTGAAATCACGAATAAGAAAGGAACAAATAAAATCCAAACCTTCAAAATGCTCTTTACGTTTACACAACTGTTCATACATTTTTATCCAGTGAATGTGTCTCCAATAGGTGAAATACTTTGTCATTACAGAAGCCTCTCGTTTATCGCAGGGGTTATGTTCTGGACCACTATGTGGAGATATCGCCGGACCTCCGGGCAGCGCCTCCCCACTCGGTAGGCCTTGAGGGCCGGCAGGCGGCACTCAGATTCACCAAAGAGTCTGGGGGTCCGGTTCCCTGTCGGTTCCGTGCGGTTCTCTGCATCCGCTGAGCGCTAAAGTTACTATGAATAAGGACCGAACTTTTTCAGATCAGATCAAAACTTTCCCTCAATTTTAGCAGAAGGGAACGGGGCTTCTGGGCAGGCACTATTGGCTTCTGGGAAATGTAGTCGTTTTGAGTGGGGATACAGTGTAGGCTTATTGAGAGAAAACTACAAAATGGTGGCACCTGTCCGAAGCATTTTATTTCGTTAACTTTTTACTGTACAGTATCCATACTGTCCCAGTCATGTGAGTAATATTAAAGTTGACAATTGTGTATCGTTTACCTTGTTTTTTGTGTGTGTCCAATCCTACTTTGAAAAACCATGAAAGAGCAAGTCCGCAAAAGTCAAACGGCGAAGTAGCGAGGGACTACTGTATTTGAAAGGTCTCTAGTAGTAAAGACAGACACTGTGGTGAGGGAAAGATAAAAAAGAGCAAACAAGGATTTAATAATGAACATCTTACTTATTCTTTGTTTCAGTAAGTATAGAAATGCACACTATTGCTTTCAATTCACAAGTTTTCAATTTTAGAACTTAAATTAAATAACGTTTTGAAACGATATGAATATAATCTTATACAAACAAGAGTACCTGACATATTAGTGTCATTATTTATTAAAAAGCATAAAAAAAAAATCTAGGTTTGCATGTGGGGAGAATGCCTTCATAAGAATGTAGATGTAAGGAAGCAGCCAGGAGCTGCTATAATCAGATGCATTTCATTAATTCACCCAGAGCGAGTCCGAGCACCACTGTATACCCAGAAGCCAGCAGGGATCCTAGAGAAGCAGTTGCTGCTGCCAATCAATCTAAAGAAAGGCTTACAAGGCCACTTCCCAGCACTGTTTCACTGTTTTTCTCGTCATTCTACAAAGAAAATGATGATCGACCCAAAGGAAACATCAAAGAAAGTTGTCAGTTTTTCCAAGAAACGGATGTCCTGAAGTTAAATAAAAGGGAAAAAGCATATCAGCATGAAATGTAACACTTTAAACCAGCTGTCAAGCACAGAGGAAGGAGTTTGAAGGAGAAATCAGAATAGAATTCAAAATCTTACCTCTAACCTACAAAGCTCTCAACAACCTAGCTCCATATTATATTACTGATCTTATTGTTCCATATTTTCCTAACAGAGCAATTGGCTCTCAGACTGCAGGCTTACTTGTGGTTCCTAGTGTTCCCAAAAGCAGAATGGGAGGAAGATCTTTCAGTTATCAGGCTCCTCTCTTGTGGAACCAACTTCCAGTTTCTGTCCGTGAGGCTGACACATTGTCCAGTTTTAAGACTGGGCTTAAGATGTTCCTTTTTGAATCCTATATAAATCCTACAGTTAGGGTTGGCTTGTTGTGCTGCCTGACCTCATTTTTAAAAATAGTTACAAATGCATACATATGAATACTTTGCATTTGAAATTATTTCTATCTCAACGTGATTCTTGACCTGCCATTGTGTATCTGTTCCTCCTTCCTGTCCTCTCAAACCCAGCCAATCGAAGCAGATGGCCGCTTGTCCTGAGCCTGGTTCTGCTAAAAGTTTCTTCCTCATGAGGGAGTTTTTCCTTTCCACTGTTGCCTTCATGCTTGCTCAGGATGAGAGTTTGCAACAAAGTTAAACTCAAAGCAGTCTGCTCCTCAGATAAATAATGTTATTAACTTGCTTTTTATGTATATGAATGTTTCTGTTCAAAGCCTTGAGATGACTTCTGTTGCGACTTGGCACTCTATAAATAAACTGAATTAAATTGAAACAGAACAATTTAGTTCTGATTAGCAGGACCTGGACACTTTGCATTGACTGAATCGATCTCTCAGATGTGTGGCTAATTTTAAAGAAGTATCTATAAATGAAAACTGGGTCACGCAACAAGGACATGACCTCAACCACAGCAGCAACAAGAAGGAATGAAAGAAAAATAATTAAGGTGCTGCGATGACCATGTCCATGTCAAACCTAAACCTGATTTCTGTGTATTTATAAAAGTAGTTTTACATTTAAGTATTAAGTATGCTTATAATAATATACATTGTATGATATATTTTTAGTCAATTTTGGGTCTATTTTATATTTGGTTTTCTGTTTTTTAAATGCATGTTATATTCTCTACTTCAGTTTCAGAAATCCGTTGTGTCTGTGCTGCATTGAGACATATGGTCATCTCTTGCTGTGATGTAAACTGATCAAACAGAATATTAATATAGCAAGTTTGCAATTTGTTGGGCTTGCTACTGAACCCATACCAAGCGGGATACAGTATAGTCTCACAAAGTGAACGTTGAATTCACTAATTTCAGAAAAAGCATCACAAAATTGTGGCCATCACAGCATTTCATGTTTGTTTTTGAAGTGACCCTTACTATCTTGTTACTTAAAATTTTGCTTTGTTTTGCATTTTGGGATGTTTCTATAGCTCTATAAAGCACTAAAGCAAAGTACCTATACTTTAAACTGTTCCTAATCCCACTTTATTACTTTTCACCTGTAAAAAAAAAAAAGCATAAATATTCAGCAGGGCTGTACAGCATGGAAGACTGTGGTGCGTGCGAGTCTGCGGTTTGCAGAGGGAGGGAGCTGCAGTGTCAAAAGTGAAAAGCTCAACGGAAAATTGAAGCTCCATAATGGAAGCATAATGGGCTTAGTGTCAGAGTCTTGCAGACAAGCTGGGAGGGAAGCATGACTGCCGTCATCCTCTCTTAACTCAAGCCAGCATAACGGGGGTTTAGGAAACAACAAGGAGACCAAGGCATGCTTTAGAGAAACACCAGCAGCCTTAATGGCTGGATGTGGATGGAATTCATAACAAAGATGGTTCCCTCTTGTCTCTTTGTGGGATTGTAGAGCATCCCACCTCAAACTCGTGCTGAATACTCAAAAGGATTCCTCCGAACCCATGCAAGGTTCCTCCTCAAAATCCATAAGCTGAAATGCATAAATTTATTTACAGACGATGGAACATTTGGATGTACTTCACAAACTGAAAATAATGCTTTCAGAATGAGTGAGCACTCTAAGTTCTCTTGTCCTTTTTGTGGAGCAGAGGGAATAAAGTTTTTATTCTGAGAGCGCACCCTGAATTTACAACCAGCACTGTAAAACAGCTACCGGGACCAGAAGTGAAGCAGTGCCCAGGGTGATGATTACCATTTAGTTCAGTTGGGTGTGGCTGCATGTACAGGGCAACAATTTACAACTTAAGTCATCTCAGATTGCTCCCAAGAACAAATCAAATACAATAATGTAAACTCTTATTCGATCGAGGTAAATTCCAGATGGATTACTTGCTTTGGTCCCAGAGCTGAGCGACTGTTGGGCTCCAATCAGACATGTTGAGAACATTATCTAGTAGCTGCAGTGGAAGTAGATTTCCAGTGAAACAGAGGGTTGAGGACAAGGATAGGGGGAAATTATGTGTTAGATGGTAAAGGATCATGTTTAGTCTCCTCTGCTGTGTAGACAGTCTGCTCTGGGATGCTCCTAAATGTGTAGTTATGAATCCGGGTCAAGGTTTAGTGCATTTCCAACAGTTGGAATGCGAGTGAGCCGAGGCTAGACAGCAGGTAAAGCAGATTTAGATTCTGAACATGAGTTGGTTATTTTTGGAGAGCCTCCAAATCTCTCCTGTGACATCATAGCCCAGAGGCAGAGCTGTAAATACATTATGATGAATGTGTGTGTGTGTGTGTGTGTGTGTGTGTGCGTGCGTGTGTGTGTGTGTGTGTGTGTGTGTGTTTATGGGCTGTTTAAGTTGCATGTTGCTTAATTCAAACAATGGTGTGAACCATGCATGCATGTCAGTTTCAGCTCTGATCTTTGACAAAATCCTTTTAATTTCATCACAATCTATTTATATCACCAGCCTGGTCTTTTTTAAATGTTTTATTTATTTTTATTGTCTGTCCCGTACCAAAAACTCCAAACATAAAAGTTTGTTTTGAGCAGATGGATTTTTACCATATTAGTGCATGATTGAAATAATGTAAAAATATTTCAAAATTTAGATTTTTGCTACAGTTCTGAACAAATAACACAAAGTGAGACACAGCTTCACTTCACTGAAGACTTTATTGATAATTTATGGGAAAAGATTAAAGCATTCCTCGTTTTGTAACAAATGAATTGTGAACAAATGGTCCGGGAGGACCGGCTGGTTAGGTTGAGCTGTATTTTATGACCATGATAAAATTTGGGACACTGTGAATTTCCAAAAACTGCAAACAGTTTTTTGAAGGTAGGAATGTCACCTTTAGATTCCTTAAGTGAGTAAAATTTGATAGAACTAGATACTTAATTGCACTGATTTTAAAATCCTCTGACTTGAAGAAATTCATACTTTTATTTCTATATTACAACTGAAGGTTTTCATACTTGACACAAAATAAAGAATAAACAGTTTCATCAGTACAACAAAATCTCACTTGTGTTTCTCAGAACTACAGCATAAAAAAAACACCAAATGCAATGCCCTTTTATTCATTAAATTAGGTGATTGATGTTAAATAAAAGTACCTTAGGAAAACAAAGCTTTTGAACTCATAAGCTCTGAAAAAGTTAAAAGTAAAACAAAACTTAAGGATTTTCTATAAACTGAATATTTTTTTCCAAGAAGAAGGGAGGATGGGGAAAGCTGGACCAATGAGTGGAGCAGAGACCAGACTTAGGTGGAGGTGCGGGTGCTTGGTCTAGCCTTTCGGCGCGGTGTACTGGCGCAGAAGCGAGGAGATGGCACTGGATTCAGTGACCTCCTCTGGAAGAGAGCCCTCCATGTCTTTGATAAACGGGTCAGCTCCGGCATCGAGGAGGAGCTCTACGATGTCTGCAAACTCGCATGCTGATGCTAAGAAGCAAGGAGGAAGAAATGTAGCAGATGTCAGGAGAGGAAAACCAGGCGAAAGACAAAAAACAGTTATATTTATACTAACTTTGAGAAAAACATTTAAGATGATTGTAAGAACATGAAGTTAGTTACTTTATTGTGTGAATGTTTATGTATTGAACGCTTTTTGAATGTTTATGAAGCATTCACACTATTGTGATCCATTTTTCTTCTGTATGTTTTTGGTGCGATTCTCGTCCCACAGTTTTCAGAGTCAGAGAGTCAGAGTTTCTTTATTGTCATTCGCACCTCATGTGGTACATGTGGTGGAGCGAAATTATGTACACAGGGTCCCAGTTACATCCAACAATAAAATGTATAAGAAAAACAGTAATAACATCTAAGATATGAACTAAGAAAAACATCAACTAAATATACACTAAGCACTCATAACATAAAACATTGAACATCACCACAAACATGAACATGAGTCTGTGAGCAGATGTGCACGCATGAACACATCAACATTGAAACAGATCAGCAGCAACATGAAACAGATCAGCAGCAACATGATATGGTTTTTCACAGTGATTATTCTAGTTAGAGATTCATGAGTCTAACAGCCTCAGGGTAGAAGCTGTTCCTCAGTCTAGTGGTTCTACACTTAATGCTCCTTAACCTCCTTCCTGAGGGGAGTGGGGCAAAAAGTGTGTGTGCTGGGTGGGTGGGGTCCTTCATGATGCAGGTGGCCCTCTTCCTGCATCTGGAGGTGTAGATGTCTGTGATGGTGGGGAGACTGACTCCAACAGATTTCTGTGCAGCCTTCACCACTCTCTGCAAAGCTTTTCTTTCTGCAGCTGTGCAGCCTCCATGCCACACGTTGATGCTGGAGCACAGGATGCTCTCCACTGCACACCTGTAGAAGGAGGTGAGGACTGAGCTTCCCAGACCAGCTCGCCTCAGCCGTCTGAGGAAGTAGAGTCTCTGATGAGCTTTCTTGATCAGGCTGGTGGTGTTGTTGCTCCAGCTGAGGTTGTCATTCATGTGTACACCCAAGTACTTGTAGCTGGAGACGACTTCCACCGCAGATCCTCTTATGTTCAGGGGGGTGTAGGTGTTTTTGTTCCTTCTGAAGTCCACAATCATCTCCTTTGTCTTCTTCACATTGATGTGAAGGTTATTCTCTCTGCACCAGCTCTCCAGGTGTTCCACCTCTTGCCTGTAGCTGGACTCATCATTGTTTGTGATGCATCCCACCACCGCTGTATCATCTGCAAACTTTACAATGTGACAGCCTGGATGGGTAGCTGCACAATCATATGTGAGCAGAGTAAACAGGAGGGGGCTCAACACACATCCCTGAGGAGAGCCAGTGCTGAGGGTTATGGTGGAGGAGGAGAGGTTGTGGATCCTCACTAACTGTGGTCTGTTTGTTAAAAAGTCTAGTACCCAGTTGCAAATGGAGGGGCTTAGTCCTAGTGTGGATAGTTTGTCCATCAGGGTTTGGGGGATCATGGTGTTGAAGGCGGATGTGAAGTCCACAAAGAGCATACGGACGTAAGAGTTTTTCTGCTCCAGGTGGTTGAGTGCAGTGTGGACCACAGAGGAGATTGCATCCTCTGTTGATCGGTTCTCACGGTATGCGTACTGATGAGGGTCCTCGTTGATGTTGATGGTTGTTTTGATGTGAGTCATGATCAGTTTTTCGAAGCATTTAGCGACTATCGGGGTGAGGGCCACTGGCCGATAGTCATTCAGACCAGTCACTGTAGAGCTTTTTGGGACTGGGTTGATGGTGGCAGTCTTCAGGCAGGTGGGAACTGTCTCCAGGGTAAGTGAGGTGTTAAAGATGTCTGCCAGCACCTCACAGAGCTGATCAGCACATTCCTTCAACACTTTTCCGGGGATGTTGTCTGGGCCAGTTGC